GGTCCTGGACCACCCCCACCACTGCAGCGTCACCTACAACGTCAACAACGGCATCCAGTACATGTCCAGCCAGGCCTACCACAGACCGGTGGACCTGGACTCTCCGCCCTCCTACTCAGAGGCCGTGCTGGACCAAAGGTGGGTACCAAAGGGGCTAGTTCTGTGCTCACCAGGGTTTCAAGCTCTGTTCATCTGCGCTTCCTGCTCCTGTTTATCCTTCTTACTGCTGTGGACTGAAGCGCAGCGTTGCGATTCTCTCACATGTGTAGGGCCAAATTTGGGCAAATTTGAGCCTTTCCTGAATATGAAAAATTCATGAATCTCTGGTCCCCTTCCTGTTACTGGAATTAAAGGGATTTAAGGCAAACTGAAGTCGTGTGCTCTTAACACGTGTTGGTAGCAGAGAGAATGCCAAGAAACGTATCACTTGTCTAGTAGTGATATCCTGTGCCAGTCTGGAATCAAAACATGACAATTGAATTTGGAGTTTTGCCAGAAAAAAACCCAGCTAGGTTGTAGGTGATGCTATTTAAAAAAAAATGACCCTGGCCATATGTGGTAAGTACATAAAGGTCTTTGGTTCTTGCATAAAGGAATCGTGTAGTCCCTCTGCTCTGCTTTCCCTTTGCCAGTACCTTGGGAACACTTTCCCAAGAGCAGGGCTCTGAAATGGAAAGCCCTGTTCTCATTTTAAACAGCTGAAAGTGCTTTGAAGTTTCACGGGTGGGTGTGGTTTGGGTTGTGATGTTTTTGTGCTTATGACACTGGTTTTATTTGTAGATAATTAACCTTCATTTTTAGCCTGTCTGTAAAGTCTTTCCAAACAAAACTCCTAGGCTGACACCCTCAGTACATCGAAAGGGCGTGGTATGAACATTAAGGATCCAGACTGTTCCCTGTCGGCATTTGTTAGTACGAACTCTGGGATCTGAGGCGGATGGTATAATCATTTACATTCCTGTTCTCTGCTGCGTTTGGCAGCAGCTCCCTTGTCTTAATGTTGACATTCATAATAATGATATCTTTTCATTAGTAAGGACAACTAAATGAGCAGCTCTCCAGATTGTAATCACTTCTCACCTGGGCCGTTACAAATGATCAGCAGTTTCGGGGCTAATTGCTCCCAGGACCTGTTAGCAATCTGCTCAAGCCCTCAGTCCCTTTGCTTGTTTCCTATCAGAACCAAGAAGCAGTTTTCCTGAACCCAGTGCTCATCTTGTCTGTGCCTACTGAGCAGTTGCTCTGCATGTGATATCATCACAGCAAAAGTGATTTGTCACATGGAGAATTAAATCCATTATTTATTTCTAGACCGTAAGCCATTAATCTCTGTCACTGAATGGAGGTTTCCTCAGAGCTTTCTTGTGTGCACACCATTATCTGCAGGTGGAAATCCACCACTTACCTCCTTTCTTTTAAAGCTCTTTCTTAGGCTGTGTAAATGTTGTTCTTGCCTCTTGCAGCTGTCTTTGAGGGTAAGCTGAGACCTGCTGGAAGTGCACACCCATGGAAATCGGCATGCCGAGTGTTAAGCAGGATGCAATTAGCTGTGTTGCATCCTGACCAGAAACCTTGGTGCCCGGTGGTGGTGTGGCTGTTTTGGAACAACCTGAATAATGTAGGCAGGTCTGTTGGAGATCAGCTGATAGGTGTCATGATGGAACAGCTAAGAAATACCATTTGCTTTCTTCACAGCTGGAAAACTCTGTCCTTTCTTCTGTAGCACTGCTTTCAGTAACCTCTCACTATGTTGTGTACCTTACAGCAGACCACCTTGGTTTGACCTTCCTCCGCCGCCTTACTGTTCTGAATCTGAACCCAGTAATCAGCCAGATCTTCCTCCTTACCGCTCCCGGACGGAAAGCTTGGTGAGCACAGAGACCCCCGTGGCAGGAAGCCCTCTGGGCACAGCCAACCAGTGGACAAGAGACATCCATGACAACATGGATGGCCACAGAACTCTCCTGGAGAGGACAGCAGATCAAAGCAATTCTCTGGTCGACCACATTGCTGAAGGAGAAGTGTAACTGCTCTGGTGTTTGGGACGGGCAGGAAGGCATTCACCTTTTCAAGGCTGGGTTCATCTGCCGTGGCTAGTAGGTCTCAGGGGCTCGTGTGCCTGAGCGCTGACTTGATTTGCATCCACACTAAGTTCATATCTGAATTCAGCGTTTTGGGCTCATCAGTGACGGAGCTGTGAGAGCTAAAGAGTCCCATCGGCTCTCCACAGTACTTCTGTGAGCGAGTTCTGGTTCGGACTAGCAAGACAAACATTGGTGCTGTGTCAAAGAACTGATGTGATGTATTTCTTGGACTGTTTACTGTATATGAATGTATATATGTGCATGTATAGTAGATTCAGATGTTGCACACACAAACTATGCCAGGAGGACTCTTGTTTTCAGACTGCCTCCCGTCCCATCGACGTGTGAGCTGTTTCTTCTGACTCCTGGGCCATTGGTGGCCATGGAAGCACACAAGAGGCAGTCTGTCTCCTTGGAGGTGTCCTGCCCAAAGCTAGCCTCCTGGCAGTGCTCAGATTGCAGAAAAGGTCCTGTCTGACCCTTCTCTTCATGACCTGGGACATCCTCACTCTGTAATTTTCAAAGCTGAAGCTTGTGAGGATGCAACAACTCTCTAACCGAGCAGACAAGGGGTGTTTTTCCCAGATGCTCATATCTAGAGCAGATTCACACAGGTTTTCTCAGGAACACCACAAAGGTTATAGCTTATCTACCTGACTCCCAGGCTGAGTGCAGAGGTGCTGAAGCTTGTCAGCAAACCAGTGCGAGACTTCAAGTGTGGAAAAACATTACTCCATGTGTTCCTTCTTAAACAAACAAACAAAGAACAAAACAAAACCCAATCAAAAAAAACCCCCGACTTAATCCTGAACACCAAAAGCAGCCTGAGGCCAACACCCATCACGGAAAGCTTTAGCATGAGTGACCAGTTTGTTATATTTGTTAAATAACTCAGCAGGTCATGGAGTGAAAGGTGTGGGCCCTGTCTGCAGCATGTGTACACACATGGACACGCGTGTTTAGTGCCGTGTGTGTGTGTAAGCACTGCATTGCGTAGGCTTAATTCTCCTGCACCAGCTGTACTCTGAGGTGTCAGCGTTTCACATACAGTATTCTCATTGTTTTTTACGGATTTTGCCACTGTTTGTGTTCATTTGGTTGAAATTCCACCCTGTGCAGCAAACCAGGATTCTTTGTGTCTGTTTTGTGCTAACTCTGGGAATGGTCTCCTGTGAGGCGCATGTCAGTGCACGGTGTTGAATCGCCCGTCTGGAAGCATCTCGGAGGTGAGAGCATTCAGGGTGGCAAGAGGGAAGGTGAGCTGAGGATTTAAATGCCACTGCAGGGCTGTGCTTGTGCTCAGTATACAGCAAACACTGCCGCATCTTCCAGAGGGAAACTGGCCTTGAAAAATTATTTATATTTGTCAGACACATTTCCCACTCTTCTTCCATGTAATGAACAGTGTCATTAAGCAGGGTTTGCTGTTTAATGGAAGTGAAGGAAGCTGACTGCCCACACCTTCTGCTTTCTTCCTCCCCATCTTTCTAAGGTCATCTCTTCCTCCCAAAGGTTGTACTCTCAGAACCCAAGAGTTTGGGAGCTTGGGTGTAGGCAGGGGAACAACTCAAATTCAGTCTCAGTTCCCACACATACATCTGAATTTTTTTTCATTTCCAGCTCTTGAGTCTCTGCTAGGGTACATAGGAGGCAGGGACCAGATGGATTTACAAGCACAGGTCATTCCAGGACTGAGAGGACATGGTGGGGAGCGCTGGAGAAGTCGAACGCTGATGGACTTGGCTGACTTGGGACACAGATTAACAGCAGCCTTTCATCGCAGGCTCAGGCAGTTCAGAGTGCGCTGGTGAAGGTGTTCCTGGACCCTTGTAGAGCCACGTACCGGGTTGGAGCAGATTCCAGCCTTGGTGGGAGCTGAAGCAATGTAACGATGCTGTCCTTGACAGAGCAGGGCTTGGCTGGTTGATGACTGTCCGACTGGATAGGCAGACTGTGGTCATTGCTACGTAGCAGTCGGTTACTCTTTGTTTCACAGGTAGGTGAGGCTCAGGTACGTAGCTGAGTTAATGGTGAAGGTGGGTGCAGGGGTGTCTGCTGTGAGCACCAGGTCCTCTTGTCCTTCTTGCCTTTCACTGAGGTTCTGCTCGGCCTCTGTGAGAGACCTGTGTCGTGCTGTTTCAGAATTAGCCTTAACCTTTTTCTGTTGGTGTTTTTAAAACGTTATATTGGACTTTAAAGTCTATTATTGAAGAGTTGGCAGTAGTTTGATTAGAATCAGACATCTTTTTAAAAAATGTTCAAGTTACCTGAGGCTGTATTAGTGCAACTATATCCTTGTGTGGCACATGTCCCCCACGCAAGCCTCCCGCAGGGGACGGCGTCTCACCACGTGTGTTCTGAGACACTGGGGTGCAAACCAAGGATTGTTTGCCTATGGCACCTGAAAAACGTTGCCTTGCATTGTAAAGAGTGGACCTAGCCTGCTTCTTCAGCCTTCTCTGTCCATCACTGTCATATATGTACATATATAGATGGATATATATATATATAAAAAATACTCTTTCAGGTTGTATATATTTGTATAACTTTTGCATTGAGATAATCCATTTGGACTTTACAAAAACGAAAAAAAGGGTGTGCTGTTTTCCCTTCTAGCTAAGGGTGTATTTGTCTTTGTATAGGAGTCTTTTAGTTTTGGAGAACGTGAGTTACAAAAGCAGCTGGTGCCTTTCTGGTTGAATGTTGATTTGGGAGCTGCGTTTCTGGGTGTTGTTACATATCATTGTCTAGAGATCCAAAAAGAGAAACAACTCTTGTCTTCCTCCTCGTTGTTCCTCACGGGGACCACTGAACTTTGGGGGGTGCAGGAGGTCAGCACCTTGTTCCCAAAAGGCAGGCTAAAACCTGAAGGGAGGGTTTCATCTTCCTCCAGGTTTCTGGTTTGTAGGACAGAGTTGCTCACTGGTTTCTTTGGAAGTCGCTGTAGTTTCACACAGAAGCTGTTGGTAACGTGTCACTTCTAGCAGTGTTAATGCGGCGTTGTACTGCATTATTCAGTGGGATCTTGGGGAAGCTGTGGTAGCAACAACCATGCTGATGAAATGAAATATTTCATTGAAAATCCGGCAGCTTGTGAGGCTGAAGGTAAATGTTCGTGAAATACCATGTGGTGGGATTTCTTTTCATTAGCCAGTAAAATTGGAATTGATCATTCTATTGTTTGCAGTTGCTCTTAACCTTTCAGTTTGAGGCCAGTCCTCCAGGAGCCTTCCTTTACCTTTAATATTTAACCAAACAGATGTTATTGCAAAGACTTATTCTTACAGAAGTAAAATCCATGAAAGTTTTCTTCCAGAGCCAAATTCGGAGTCCACGTCTGTGTCAAATGGTGACCACTGGAAGGAGTAGTTCTCCTCAGCATAGGTATTAAAATATTTGATGACTACTGGAGGCAAATGAAGGAATGGGGATTAATTAGCCTGTTAGGAAATAAGATTTGGGTTATGTAAAAATAAATGAATAAATAATTTTCAGGGGTTTTGTGTGTCTGTAACCTCTGCTGAAGTCAGAGCGCTGTGTATTTGAAGTTCTGTCATTAGTGACTCTGCTTGATAATGATCTGAAGTTCCTGGTGAGGCAATGAGAGTTTCCCTCTCTGGGCTGGTGCTAACGGCAGGG